AAAAGAGCTGGGACCTGGGGCTGGGCAGGGAAGCTATTGAGAGTGGGTGGGGAATGGGGCCTGTGTGATTTGGAGATTTGGCAGCATCCAAGTCTCTGAATCAGATTCGGCTGAATTGATTCAGTGATTCGAATCACTGTCCCGAATTGAATCACTGTCCCCTGAATTGGCTGAATCTGAATCTAAAGCGAATACTAGCTGCTTCACACAGGCCTAAGGTTAGTACAGTCCATCTCAAAAAGCTATATGGTAGTGCCCATTGAGTGCAGTCCCCCTCGGTGAGCCACTACACTGCATACATTTCAACCTCCTCCTCACTTCCACAGCTGAGCTGCACTTTTCTTTCCCAAAATGATTCCCATTACTTCACCAGCCTTAAATGTCTGGCAAATATCACTAAATGGGGGCTGGACTCAATGATCTTCCAATGTCCCTTCCAGTCCTAATGTCTATGAAATCCTAAAGTCTATGAAAATGGGGCCCCAAACAGTTCACCCAGAATCCCTCTGTCACATTTTCTCTCAGCCTGCTACACATGATTTATTAATGTGGCCCCTCATCAGGTAGAACCAGACCAAGCTGCCCTGCACCTCATATATAGATACATTTTTGGAGGTTCCCAGGACTCATGAGCTTTGCTGCAGAAAAACATGACTTTTCTCCTTTAAAGGAGGAAAAAAAACATAGGTTTCCCCTGGTAGGCTAGCAGAGTTCCAGACTGCAAGGTGCTACTTGAGGATGGGGGTGGAATGGGACGTACAGGGTGCCACATGCATGTGCACACATGAACGTGGCAGCCAGGCAGAGTGCGATGAAGAGCAGCTCCCACAGCTTCCGCCAGGTAAGTCTATAGGGTCGGGGGCAAAGGTAATGAGGTGGGAGGGGCAGAGGTGATAGGGAGGAGGCTGGGGGAGCAGAGGCAATGCATAGGGAGGTGGAGGACACGGGGCTGCAGCTGAGTTGGACCAGCTCCAGGCAGCAGCCATCTCTGTAGCCCAATGGGCACAACCTGGCACAGGAGGGAGCGCCATGCCACCAAGGTATACATTTTCTATGTATAAACTAATCGAGAGCTGGGGGTGCTTTTGTATTCAGGGTTGTCTTATATTTGATTAACTATAGTAGTTGCATACTGAATGACAGTCCCACACAGAATTTGCGTGAAAATGCTTTTACTTTGCAGAAATAAATCAGAGAACATGGCATCCAATTACTTGTTTCTACCTCTCAGACTCCTCATGCAATATCTATTTTATTTGAAGCACTTTATTCTTTTCTACCTAAGCTGTTCTCATTCCCAATCACTCATTCCTCAGTGCAGGAACTACCCACCACATTCTCTACATCTGTATTTCACTTGCAGGTAGCCAAGCTAGAATTTGATGAGTTAACATTTCTACTTCCTCCAGCAGAATTCCATGTGCTCTCTGAAGGCAATTAACTTTATTTCTCATCCAAAAGATGACACTTCTAGCAGCACAATATTAGAAAGACAAGCCAACATATTTCATTAGAGGGATGAAAACAGAGGTAGACTTGAGTCTTTAACATAGATGTAAAAGTGCTCTGGTCTGGAGATGTTACATTTCCAGACGAGAACACTAAAAGCCAAGTAAAGAAGAGATGCCCATAGACTAGGGAAAGAGGATGGACAACTAAACAGCTTTGAAAGTCCAATCAGAGGCAGGAGGAGAACCAGAAAAGCCAACAACTACTCCTGGGATTAGAAAAAACTTCCTCTATGGCTAGTTACAAAAGAGTTTTTCATCTCTAAAGCTAGTTCTAAAGGTAAAAGTAGTGTACCTTTGATTTAGCGGAGCTGATAATGAAATCTGTGCTGTTTCAATGAAAAAAGCCTCCCAAAACTTAACATAAAATAGAAAGTAACACTATATTACAGCTGTATATTATAATACATTTCCATTCTCTTAGCACTGCACATTGTTAATATAAATATTCTCTAAACCACAAATATGGTAATTTCATTCCAAGCATATTTGAAAGTAATTTACAGAAAGAAGAAAGTATATTTTTCATTTCTCTATTCAATTGTCTTATACAGTTCAGTTAAAGTAGCTGAAAAAAAAAACAACTCTGGGTCTTCACAGAGAGTAGGAGGTAAAATGGAATTCATTAAACCAGTGATGGCTCTACTGAGGTTGACATGTCACCAACAGTTTCCAGAATAAAAAGTAAGCACTCGACAAATAGCAGAAGAAAGCAAAGGTTCAATTGAAAAATGACAAGGTAGAAAGAGTTTCTTACAAAGTGCTTTGCATAACGAAGCCATATAACCCACTATTACAGGAAGTTTTGTTGGAGGGAAGGATGTGCATTATAAAGCTAGAAAAAAGCAATGTTCTGTAGAAAAAGGTGCTTGATTATTTCATCACATCAACTCACTAAACAGTTATCAAGTTACATAACTAAATCTGGAAGTCTGAGAATACTGTTAGTAAAACTGAACCAACTGAAAACCCTTTTTCATTGAACATGGAGGTATTCTCATCTTCCTTTATACCGAGTTGTTTCACCTCTTCTCATTTTAGAATTATTCTATACAATAAAACCACTCTGCATGAATATATTACCACTTCAAAAGCAAAAGGACACACTGAGCTGCATCAAAAGATGTTTGGTCTTAAACCACTTCACTTTGCAAAAGCAATAACCTACTTTCACTTTGAATATACCACCTGCTACTCTCTCAAGGGACCCACAACTTTCGAACAAGATTATCTTGCTA